CGAGGAAAGAGACACGTTAGAAGGACTACTGCCGGTAGCTGCTAACAATCTGAGAGACTCACATCTATTCATGAATGAAGCCAAGACAGAATTTACCCATGTTTACTTGGCAGACACACTGGGAAAAGATGAGAATGAACAACCACTCCGTGGCAACGAGGAATGGAGAAAGAGTAAAATCCTAGGCTCCCTCCTCTGCAGCTCATCTGACATAGCAGCACGGTGCACCATGGGCAACATAGCGTTTAAGTCCCTCTGGAAAATATGGATTCGACGATCAAAAATTCCATTAAAAAAGAAGCTGCAACTGTACAATGCCACCTGCGTGTCAATCATGCTCTACAACTGCAACAGTTGGGCAGCACCACAGACAGCAATAGACAAGCTAGATGCCTGCCACCGGAAACATCTAAGAACAATCACAAGACACCGATGGCCAAACAGTCTAATCTCAAACAAAGCACTGTACAAACTGTGCAATACAGGCCCGTTGTCAACTAAAGTGAAATGTGCCAGATGGACCATGTTCGGACACATTCTAAGAATGCCGACAGATACACCTGCACAGCAAGCCTTGATCTTCGCCCTGGTGGGATCTAATACTTACAGACCCAGAAAGGGAAGGCACTGCAGTAACCTACTAAGTCTGGTGAGGGCAGACCTCAAGGAAAGAGGACTAGGACCATTGCGGTCAGAAAGAAAACTCCAGGAGCTCAGAAGGCTCGCGATGAACAGGACAAAGTGGAGAGAACTGAAGAAAGACTGATTGATGCTGCAGGATGCAGAGCTACTGCAGCAGCAGAATACAGTGAACTACTACTACTATATTATGAAATAGTGTAAAAAAATTTACTGCTCTGACGTTTTGTAGGTGAGGCCGATAACTTTTTGAACACCCCTCGTATTGTATGTCCTTGTCACTGTTAGGAAAACAAATCGTTTGCAGATAATTTTTTGAAATTTTAATTTTATATTCTAAAGTTTGTGGGGTTAGCCGGAACGTGTTTCATTCGGTTTTACACATTTATCAGACTATGGCTGTAGAAATAGCTACCCTAGATATGATTATGCGTAAACTCAGGTGTCTGTATTTTGCAAAAAAACTCACCCTTTTCTTTTACGGTAATGCTGATGTTGTTCAGGATATCCATGTACACTCTTGTGCTAAATGTAAAGTAGAATAAGGGTAAGGGTATGTTATAAAAATAGGTGACTGTACGAATAATCATCATTGAATTTATTAGTCAAATTCGTCTCGCCAATGCTTACTAATATATTTGCCGGAATTGTTAATAGGAAATTTCAGTATTATGAAATTAACAATGCTTGAAAAAATATATATTACCTGTTAAGCAGCTGAATCTCTTGCGCGCTCACCATCTTTTTCTGCAACTCAGCTGTAGCAGTTTCGTTGCGTTTACATTCTTTTATGAACTTACATGAAATACTCCGTTTTGGTTTTGTGCATGACCATGTAGCATTCAGGATAGGTCTAGAAAAATCACACTGTGAACTCAGATTGTGACCTTTTTTTCTACTAAAGCTACATTCGGTCCATTCAGAAATGTTGACTATGGTATCAACAAAGTTACAATAAGTTACACGTCCCTCCAGAAAAGAGTCATGGATTCTCCTCAGAATATCCACTGCTTCACTTGGCTGTATTAGCTTTACAGAGACGGAAAAGTTTCCCGGCAAACGTAGGAGAAACTGAGCGACGTAAGATCCATTCTTGTAGTCCGTAACTTTCCCAGGCGTACACGACTTTACAGGATAGTCAGTGTACAATTTTGCTATCAAAAAATCTCCTCCGTGAAGTCTCTGATGAGCACTTTTGTCCCGGGCAGTTATCTTTATAGAGATATTTTCTCCAACTTGATAGGTGGGTTTAGGGTTCACAATAGACAGAGACATCTTATCAGCAGTAGTGATTTTACTAAAGTCAAAACCACCATGATTCCTTCGAAA